ACTCAACCATGCCTGGCTTCACTTTGAAACATGGAGTAAATGTTTCCTCTGTGTTGAGCCTCCTCTTTGTAGACTGGACACTGGCTCAAGTTCATTTGGTGGGGTATCCATGGCCTCCTTGATCAAGAGGACAGGTGACTCACCACAGCTACAGGACATTTTGAGAGATGCTCATAGTTCCTGGAACTTAGTCAACCTTGGAGAACAAGGAGCAAAAACTGTCCTTTAGGTCCCTCTGACCAAATTAGTATAGGCCTTAAAGTATGGCTGTTAAACATCCAAGAAAGTTCCATCAGTCTGGAACTTTTAATTACCATGTGCTATGGAGATAAAGCTTGGGCAAAGACCAATGGTTCTCAGATGAACCTTGCCTAGACATGTTTATCTATTTAACTTGAGCTAGTTGTATGTAAAATTTGTCAGAAGATTGTTGGACTAATATGGTTCCCTCTGGTTTTTTAAAACTAGCTGCACATTATTTATCTCTCACATTGTCTAACCCTGCCACCATGGTTTCCCCATTTAAGGTGCCTCCATTTTTCCCATTTCACACACACACACACACCCTTCTGCCATAGTTTCCCCATTTAAAGTCCCCCCATTTCCCCCATTTCTCCCTGGATCATACCAGTCACCCATGGTCCCAACTCTCTTGAGCTCCTTCTTTCCCTTTATCCCCAAATTTCCTTGTATAAACCTCCTTTCCCCTCCCATTTAAGTGACTCCATTTTTATCCATTTCTCCCTTAGTAGCACCTGTTTCCTACTGTTCTCCCTAAGGTTTTTTTTTTTTTTTTTTTTTTTCATTTCCCTCCCTGGTTCCTTTTCATTGTCTGTAGTTATGTTTGGATACACACTCACTTACGAGGATTTGGTGCTAGGATCCACATATGAGGGAGAACCTACATCATGTTTTTTTCTGAGTCTGTGTTATTTCACTTAGTATAACAGATGCTAGTTCCATCCATTTACCTGCAAATTTCATCTTTCTTTTTTTCATGAATTTCTATTTGTGAATTACTGGCCTTATTTACTGAGCTACAGAGTCCTATTTAGAAAGTACAGAGCCTCTGTGGGACCAGAGAACACCACAGAAACAGGTCTTCTCCTCCAGTGACTTCAGAGAACACCTGGAGACTAGACCTCTAGATCTGGAGACCCCTGGGAGCACCCTGGGGCCAAGCCTCCATATGTAGTAGCCTCAGAGGTTAGTTGCAAGGTCGTGTTTCAGCTCCAAAGTACTCAGGGGTTCCCTGAAAGACTGGACTTTTGACTTCAGTAGTTCCTAAGGTCTGTGTGGGCATGGAGTTTTGACTTCTGAGTTTCCAGTGGTCACTGCAGGACCAAGTATCTATACTGCTGTGGTTCCAAAGGTTGCTTCAGGCCTGAGGCCTGAACCACAGTTCCCAGGTAGTACACAGATTTCAGGATGGGGTGATATTTGGTGTCCTACCCCCCATGAGTTCACAGAGTCCAAGGGGTCACTGAGGTTTGATCTTGTCAGCCTTACCTTTGGTCCTATTATAACATGGCCAAGGAGGGATCACCTGGGCAATTCAATGTAACAATCAAAACCAGGATTCACCAGTCACTGTAGCAGAACCTCATGCAAATATCCCTCTAAGAAGAATCACAGACTTGAGAATGAAAGAAGGATATTTCAAAACAAACATAATTAAGTCAATTTGTGACAAGTCAGCACTTCAGAAAACTTTTAATTGAACACAGGGAGGAAGACGAAAGATAGGTATCCACATGAATCCATGACGGTGTACACTCCATGCAAAGATGAGATCAACACACTAGACCAGCGAAAGAAACAACAGTGGCCACCATAGCAACTGAGCATACCTTCCAAAATAATGTGGGAGAAGTAAAAGAAATGTCAATAATTTAGTAAAACAGAGCATCGCAAAATTTATAGTGAATAGTAAACACCGTTCTATAAGAATGTTAAATGTTGTTCACCACTAAAAAGATATAATCTAATGGACTGGATTAAAAAACAAGAAGCAGAGAGATATGATGGCATATGCCCTTAATTCCAATGCTCTGAGGGAAAGTAGACAAATTTCTGTGAGTTAAGACCACCCTGTTCTACACAGCAAATTCCAGACCAGCTAGTGCTACATGGTAAGATCCTGTCTCAAAACAAACAAACAAACAAACAAACAAACTATATGTTGTTCCCAAGAAATGTACCTAGAAAGCAAACATATTAAAAATAACTGAATAGCTAAAGATGGAAATAAATTACCAACTAAATGAAACTGCAAATAATCACCTATAGCTATAGTTATATTAGATAAAGTAAGCTTCAAATCAAAGCTACTTCCCGTGTCCTGCAACACCCGCCAGCCTCTTTCTGGGGCTGACAGCCTCTTTCTGGGGCTCTGAGGCTTACCTTTCCTCTCCCTGATCCTTTGCATCCAGTACAACCCAGCTACTCAATCCACTCCCTGGGAAATCTTGGGGCTTCTTCCCTCCCCATCTGCCTTTGCATCCCTGCATGGCTCGGCCATGGCCAGGGTCTCAGGTCAGTCCAACACCCAAGTTCCTGAGGCCAAAATCATTCTTAGAAGATTCCAGACCTAAGGAGAAAGTCTGAAAACTTCTGACCCACATTGGAATTGGGCCACCGCGGAACTCCTGAAGACAAAATCAATCCGGCCTCGACAATATAAAATCAAAAGAGAGAACCAGAAACTTAGACGAACCAGCTCTTCATACCCAAAAAGTAAACCACAAAGACACATAAAGCTCAAAAAAAA